AGGGTCATCTTCGGTCTGTTGGGCGTTTGTGCTGCTATTTGTGTCCGTAATTGCTTTTGCTGTACTTCTCCGATCACTGTGGGCGTTTTATTTTGATAAATTTTCAGGTCTTATCTTTTTAGTCGTCCCATGTTAGCCGGCAAAACAGTAAGTTTGGGATTATTTTTTATCATATCCCGTTTCGGCAATTTGTTTCTTCTAAGCATTTTCTGTATCTGATCGCTATTTTATTAGAATTGATGATAAGATTCATTGTCTGCCATGCATTCCTTCGGACAGGAATTTTATAATATGTGGTTTGACTTTGCCTCAACTTTTCATTATCTCTGGCTATTGGGTGAGCTGCAGCTATGACTACGCCATTTCATCGAAACACCCAACTGAGCCCCTATCCATCATTATGCATGACATCACAAAATGATGTTATTTATCGCATTTAAGTATTGTTTCGAGACTACCAGTAAATCAGTAATTTGAGATGTACTCAGCCAATTTCGTTAAGGTGATAACTGGTAGAAGAATTTTCCCACAATGATATGAGTAGAGCTGACGTTTCCATTGAATTTCACATAGCCTTGTTTTCTCAAAAGTTGTGCTCATCCTGGGTGGACTGCAGTTTCGACCTCGCATCAACACCTCCAGCGGGAGTCGAATCGTGACAGTGCAAAATGGGAGCTTGATACGCTAACAACTCGGCCACATTGCCACGAGTGCCTTTGGGTCACAGGACAAACGTGAATTTCAAAGAAGGCCAGGCCTTTTCTCATATCACATTCTTTAGTGGGATTGTCGATGAAGCAAACGTATATTTGCTATAACAATCGACTACGTTACTTTATTTTTCGCATTTAAGTATTGTTTTGAGACTAATATGAGATGTATAAAATATGGCAAAAGGCCTGGCCTTCCTTGAAATTCACATTTGCCCTCTGACCCAAAGGCACTCGTGGTAATGTGGCCGAGTTTCTAGCATGTCAAGCTCCCATTCTTTACTGTCAAGGTACGACTCCCGCTGGGGGTGTTGATAAGACTGATGCGAGGTCGAAACTGCAGTCCACCCTGGATGAGAATAACTTTTGGGAAAGCAAGGCTATGTAAAATTGAATGGAAACGTCAGCTCTACTCATATCATTGTGGGAAGATTCTTCTACCAGTCCTTCATCCCTTTAAACGAAATTGGGTGAATACATCTCATGTTACTGCTGTTATTTAGCCTTAATTATAGCATTTGTAATAATATGGTTCTCGATTTAAATTCTCAACATTATCTTACATGATGAGCTGAGTTTACTTTTAGTCTTTATAATAAATTAGGCAGATATGTCATATTTTACACACTGAATTTATGTAGGAATATCCATTTGAACCATCTACACGTAGGGTATATGTGTATGTATATATTCTTTAAATTATTATTTACTTTTATGTATCATTTGAATTTCCATCTCCGTTTTCAGGGTGCCTGGAGCACTTGGCTTTCTGGCCGACACTTTGTCTTGGCACAGACCTTCGCCTGGCAGTGTGGGCATGCACTGTTCCGAGGCCGAGGCCAGAATTGGTCCTTCATGCTTAACCAAGAGTGTCGCTATTGCCGAGAATTCCGCGGGAATCTTGCGTAATCTCTCTTCCGTCATTGCCTCTCGGGAGGACTACAGGTACGTCTTCATGAGTTGGATGCAATTATGTAAAATAAGGCATATTATGATTATCCAGAGGGCCTGGTTTTGATTGGGAACTTTAGCCGTTAAAGAGTTAATTCCATCTTGAAGTATTTCTATCAAGAGTTGTGGTTCTCTTGGGCATACTTCGCCGGACAAAATCGCAAAATGATCACGTTAACCATATATGGAGATTTTTCTAATCTGAACTATTCTTTTCTTGTCATGGTTATAATTACGGTCACTTTTTCTATACGTCATTATTTCTCTCTCACGCAAAAAAAAGCTAATCAACCGCAATCGGAGTGATGGTCAAAGCGTAAAAAAGGGGTGTGGTTGTCATTAAATCTTGATGATTGAGGAAAGATATCACATTGTATACAGTTAGCTAAGAGAAATCCACTATCGTATTCTGGTGTGCTCGACCTTCGAATCACTTTTCACATATTTTCACTCGAAATGGAAGTGAGCCTAACAATCTTTGTATCCACTACTATAATATCCGGCCATCATATTTTTAAAGGATGAGTTCAAAAGTCATTTTTAGCATTCCATCTATCTGGAATGGCCCTACGGATAACTAAATTTGGACATGAGCCTTTTTCTAGACCTACTTTGCTGTTTCTATAGCCCTCGGCCTACATTATTTATAGGCATTAATAAATATAGAAGTTGTTTGACCTTGTTTTTGTAACTTGCTCATCTTGGTAGGAATACTTAGAGGAACGTACCTAGTCCGGAGTCAATTGTATGCATGATCATTTTTGAAGTCGAACCGTGGATGTGGTACATTCTCAGACGTTTCGCCGGCATCGTACTCGGAATCGTCAGCGAGTCTTGCCATTCTTAGCACCATACAACAGCTCTTCAGAGACAAATATAACCATAAGTTCTTCTACCGAAGTCATTTAAGAATGACTTTCATTGTAGTGTAGATTAGACGTCAAGTCAGTTGATTTACACTTTTAAACATTATTCCTAGTTTTACGGGCACTTTCATCAGATAATTTCGCTCAAGTGTCCACAGTGATAAAGGCTTAGCACTCACTTTGAGACACATTAGTGCAACTTAATAGTGTAGGATCTGTATCCTAGTTTGTCGCATAATTAACCTAAGGCCCAAATAGCCGTAACAGATAATGACTTACTTGGCATTTATCCACTTGCTAGCTTTCCCTCATTTGAATCATCACAAAGTTTACAATATAATGACAAACTTTTCGGAATTACCCTCCTAATGGGTATGTTTTCGCTAACTTCTCAAATATGTTAGTGTATGCATTCTTATTTATCTTCCCCGCTTGTCTGATCTAGGAAGTATTGCGCATTTTTATACGAAATGTGCTAATTTATTCCATTTTTGATGTTCAACTTTTGGCCAAGCCTCTCTTTATTTCATTTGCATTCCATATGCGGTTATTCTGAGGTGGGGCTTAGTTGGCCAGCTTCTTTGATACTTTTTTCACGAGTTGACCGGATTAGCGCTCTCACTGCACTCTTTCTCTTTACCTTGTATCTCCACCCCGTTGAATATTTTATTTTGATCAAATTAATAAGGTTTTTCTGAGTAGCTTTGAGTGATACTTTCATTTATCTCTTACTCCATGCATTTTCGAATGTTTGCCTTTTTTTAACTTTTCCTAACTTTCTTTAAGCCCCGGTTCCTTCGTTGTTCCATTCAATTTTTTGACAGTCCTGTGTTTTGGATAAGTTATAACATTGGGGATGACATTGAAATTATTTTTTTTATTGGTCATCCATTCTCCTGCTTCAATCCATCCTTTATTCAAAATAATGAAGTTCACTTATAGTTTTTGGCTTAAAAGTTCCTCTATATGTTGGCACATGTGCCTTATTCGCGGCATCAACCCAGCTCTTTTTGTTGCAAGTTCCACAGCTTTTACGAGTCGTCTGCACATACAAGGCAATTTCCTTTACCTGTACTTCTCCTTTTCATGTATGCTTACCAACCATTGTAACTGAGATTTCCCAAGTTTCCAATGAAATCTCTAGAATCCATGGTGTGTTTTTCACTAAGCTATATATATATATATATATATATATATAAAAGGACTGGATTTGATCGAATTCGCACCTGCCTTATCCTCTGATTTATCATCTCGCATAAATTTTTCAGACTGGGAAAGATTCCCAGCTCGCCTTATAGCCTGAAAATTGCCTATCAGTTTTATCCGCAGCCAGCGTATTCGGTCCACATTTGGTTTCGATGCCCTGAAATGGCTAGTTTTCTTTCCACTTTGCGTAGAACAGCTCCTTAAAGTTAAAATTCGCTGCTAGTTGTGGACGAATGCTAGCCCATTTCTATTTAATGTTCTAACGCACTTGATGTTCTTATTATTTTTCTTTATTTGCTTACTCAGCATTTTTTGCTCACTTATGCATTATTTCCGATTTATCCTTCGAGCCTAATTTCTTCGCGATCATTCTCTAGATTTTTTAAATATTGCTTTATCTGAACCCTTAGGACTGCATAAGCTTACTATTGCAATAATATCTTTGCCTATTATGGCGAAAACACATTTGGCTTTTAGCTCTATAAAGCTTTTAATTCTTATACTGTGCTTCTTTTTTGTAGTCCATGAATCACTTGTATATGTAGAATTTTTACATTTTATTTCGCTTCTTTATAATCTATAAATTTAATTTTTCTGTTTTTTTATATTATACTACTTCATATAACCCAAGTATAATAGTAAATGTGCTATTTTGGGTCATATTTATCGGACGGCCTTCGTAGATTGCCGACTGGGGCAAAAAAAGAGATTACCTTCATTCTTTTCCATTGCCTTAATAGATATTCACTTGGAGTTGTCCACAGAGTCTCCTACACCGAATGCTAGGCTGAAATCATTGTCCGCCAAAATTCTCTCGCAACTGACTCAAACATACTTGACTTCCTAATTTGTGC